CAAATTCATTTATTTTATTTTTTTGATTCTAGTATCTATTTACAAATATTTGCTTTTCCCAGTGTAGTATTATGTTAGAACAATACTAACGGCAACAATAGCAAAAAGAACAAAACTTAGTTGGGTTTTTCCATTTATTCCACGCTCAAATGGTCTCATATAGTTTCATATTTAATACCTTTGCTAAAGGATGGCAAAATCTCTTACGTGATATTGAAGTTTTTAGAAATAATAAATCCTATGGCCATCATCAATTCTTTATTTTTTCCCTAGCTATATTGAGCTATAATTGACAAAACTGTATATATTTGTGATATACAACATGGTATTTTGATATGTGCAAGGTAGGATGATTAAATCAAGCTAATTAACATATCACCTCGCATACTTGTTTTTTGTGGTGAGAACATTTAAGATCTACACTCTTAGCAATTTTCAAGTATACAACAGATGATTATTATAAAGTCACCATGCTACACAGCAGATCTAAAGAACTTATTCTAAGACTCTAACTGAAACTAACTGAACCTTTGTCTCCTTTGTCCAACATGTCACATTCTCTACCCCTTGCAATTCTTTATGATAGTCTTCATCATCTATGTAAACCTATCAGTGAAAATATTTTAAGAACTTGCTCTAGTATTTTTAATTTACTTATAAATAAATATGTACTTTTACAATAATATATATATAATCACAAATTTTAAGAGGGAGAGATAAATATGTTTCTATACATTAGAAATTCTGGTGTTTTCTTCCTACGTCACCTAGGAGTGTGATAATCACATTTTGATGACCACTGGTCATCTAAAAGAAGCCCATAGAAAATATCCCTTCTAAGCTTTTATCCCATATTAAACGTTTAACTAAGACAATTAAACAATTTTCCCCTATTTAGAGTCTGCCTCTCAACTTCTTGAAGCTCTTGTTAACAAAATATTCTTAAAGCTGTCCCATATTCACTAACTCACGAACTAGGAGGCCAAAATATAGTCACAGAAAGCAGCTAAATAATTTTTTTTTAAGTGAGGATGATTAAGATTTGAGCCTAACCAAAGCAAAAGTCTACGTGCATATTTTATGTATGTTTGCATGTCTTTAATGAAAAGAGTAATTTTCACATGAAAAAGCTCACGTATAAGAATCAAAGATGTAGTAAATGTCTTATTGATTTTGATCATTTTATATACTATATGGTTACATTATTTATTTTAATGACTGTATTCAAATGAACATATTTTAAGCAACCATGCAAGAGCCTAAAGACTAAACCAAGCATCTTTTCTTCCAATAGAATAAAAAATGTAGAGGTAACAGGAAAAAATGTGTATATTTCACTCCGCTTCCATTAAACAATTTAAGAAAATAGTTAAGCACACTTCCCAAGTACAAACAATGCACTAGGCAATGGTCTAGTGCAAAACCTGACAACTAGAAAAACCTGACAGCTAGAAAGGAACTTCAAGATCAAAGCCGAACACCCAACCATTGCTTAAATCAGCTCTACAATAGCACCACCAAGTGGCAGTTTATGCAGCCTGTGTTTGAACACCTTCAGCAATAGGAATATATCTTAGAAGACAGTCTACTGCATTTTCTGACACTTCTAATTATTTGAAATAAATAAGATTTGGTCTAGTGATAACTTTACTGGCCCTATTTTTTTTCTTGGAGGCCATACAGAACAAACTTAATCACTCTCCCATTTGACCATCCTCCAAATATTTTAAAATGACTACTATAAACCTCAACTTTTCAACCTAACTAACTCAGCTATTTCTCATGTGTAGTTTTAAATTTTTTCTCATAACTTCCAAGAAGAAATGCAAACATAAGAACTTAATTCTTGAAGTTACGAAGAAAAATAATTTGCAAAACTACACATATTCCCAGTTGTAAACTTGAAAGCAACGATTTAGATATAGACCAATATTTTATTATTGTTGAGTATCTTGAGCAAACTTACTTATTCATAAATAAATCCATGGGGAGATAACTCATCAACATTAGCAGGGATTTGATATTTTTAAAATATTTCACATGTATTAAATACCTTCAACAAATAATTTTCATTTTTTAAATGATAGCACAAATGACCAACTTAGAAAATGTATATAAACCATTACTATTTGAAAAGCAGCAATCCCTGAAATCCTCCAGGAAATTAATGTAAGATCTCAAGCTTGCACATGTGAGCCTGCATTGATACATGCACATGCACACGTGTAACTACATACACACAGCTGTTCTAAAAAGTAAAACTATAAATGATGTTTCTTATACAACTGCCCTCTGACTGAAATGAATGACTTAAGAAACTATTTCTAACTGAAGAGGTTCTATTTTACTATAGTACCAATCATTCAACTGATTGATTATATTTACATATAAATAACATTTTCACAGCAAAGGTAGTGCCTTTTATTAGTCCATTATTAAAGTATGGTAGAAGTTAGTGTACAATCTGATACTTATCTTAGCACTCCCAGTTTCATAAATGATATTTCTCCCATCCAAATACTAACCAGGCCCGACCCTGCTTGGCTCCCAAGATCAGAGGTCAGGCTCATTCAGGGTGGTATGGTCGTAGATCATAAATGATGTTTCTTGTCAACAAGATGAATGCTAGTACTAGACAATGAAATGCCAATTTCAATTTAATTCAGTTAATA